CAAGGTGAGAGGGCTGGCAGGACCTGCCGGGGCGGCGGTGTGTGCTGTGCCATGCCGTGCTGTGCCGTGCCGTGCCGTGCCATGCTGTGCTGTGCCATGCTGCGTCACGCCATGCCGTGCTGGGGAGCCAACGTGGGAGGCATGGGCTGTGCTGAGACCCAGCAGGGAACACAAGTCTCAAATGGAAAACACGGAATAACAGGAGCAATTAGTTTGGAGAGCATGACTGATGGATGAGGTTGGCCCTGGCAGCGAGGGAAGGGGGAAGCAATGATTTAATTAACGCTGAGGAAGAGCATGGTCTTACCTAGTGCATGGGGCTGGCTGAAGTAGGGGGATGTGGGTGTCTCCTTGGTGTCCTGGGGGACAGGAGAGGGCTGGCAGTGCTCACTGCGGAGCCGGACAAAGCTGAGCTTGTGCTGGAGCCAGGGCTGAGCAAGGAGAAAGGGAGAGAGACAGGGATAAATGCCTCATGCCCTGCCCTGGGATGCTCCAGCTCCTCAGCAAGAAGCAGACCCCCCCACACACACACTGGCAGTGCCTCTCATAGGGATGGATGCCCAGGGGGCATCGTGTCTCCTGAGAGCCAGCGTTGCTCCAGCTTGTCCCCTCCAGCGGCTGATGGGACAGCATCCAGCCAAGGCCCTGGTTTGTGGCTCTCTATCCAAAATGACCTTGTGCTCCTGCTCTGTCCCCATGCCTGCCCCATCCCTGTCCCCATCCCTGTCTCCATCCCTGTCCTTGCCACTGTGAGAGCGTGATGGCCACAAGCCCATCCCCAAGGAGAGACAGGCACATCAGCAGTGGCCAAACAGCTGTGGGTCCAAGAGCATCTGATGCCCCAGGGACCCCACAGAGCCCACACAATGCCACAGGCACCCAGTGACGCCTTGTGGACCCCATGATGCCACGGGGACCCTGTGATACCATTGGGGACCAGGCGATGCCATGGGGATGCTGTGCCAGGACACTGATGGGGAGCAGCATGAGGAGCTGGAGGAATGTCTGGGGTGCTTTGAGGGGTTTGGAAAGGGCGAGAGGGTCTCAAGGACACTTTGAATGTCTCCAAGAAATGCCACATGGGTCTCTCCCGTGCCTGCTGACTGCCCCGAGCTGAGCTCCTGCCAGGAGAGGGAGCTGGAGGGAGAAGCCCTGGGATGCTGCACGGCCGGACCAATTCCACTCCCACCAATTCCAAACCTACCAGCTCGCCCCTTCGCAGGTCCCCATTTCTCACGTTTTTCCTTGGAAAGCAAGGAACGAAGCCAAAGTAAAACTGTGACATGCTTTACGCTGTTCCTGATTTATTTCACGTCTTACTCATTGAATCTTATTCCCCAGTTTCATGGTTGTGGTGGATTTTTATTAAAGGGGATAAACAGGTCTGGGATTTGGGGTTGTCATAGGAACTGTTTCGGTGCCACAGCCTCACTGCCAGCCTCATCCTCCCCCCGGGTTCCTGATGTAGTGAGGGCTCTCGCCAGCACAGCAGAGATTTCTCCAGCCCCCCAAGCACAGCCCGAGTGAAAACCGCACGATGGGACAACCGCCGCCTGGCGCCGGGGCACCCTGAGAGACCCCCCGGGGAGGAGGTGGGCTCCCAAGCACTGCCCGGCCGTGCCCACCCCCGCAGCCACAGGGAAGTGAACTGGGACCCCTGGGCTGAGGTTCAGGGCTTTAAGCTGAAGAGAGGTGGAGGTGTGTGGAGGATGCTGCTTGTCTGTGTGGATTCTCTGGTGTCTAATAGGAGGTTGTGCTATTGCAGCTATCGCTACTGGGAACCTCTCTGCCCGATTTGGAATCATTTTCATTAAATCCCTGGAGCTGAGAGGGCATGGGGCAGACCAGGGGCTGCCCTCCAGCCATTCCTTATCTCTTCTATCGCAGGCAGAGGGGGCAGGCAGTGAAAATGAAAGTGTCAAATGCATGTCAAACCCATCGATGAAAGGAAATCCTTTGCGCCCAACACTCCTTTGGCCCATGCAG